TTGTCGGCCTATCGCTATCATTCAACTTTTTTCACGCAAAAGTAAAATAAAAATATTTGGTCGGCCTATCGCTATCATTCAGTTTAGGAGCAGAACAGTAGGACGTTAAACCCCATTTCATTTCATTTCATTTCTTCTCTCCGAAAAAACTCATAGCGAGAACCTGGCCTTGGGTATAGCTACGTCTCGAGGGCCACCCATCTAAAGGCGATGGTAGTGTAGAGAGATGTGCAACGCTTAATCAGTAACGTCTACCATTACACTAACGAATGTGTAAATGTGTATATAGAATAGAAAAGAACAAAATAGAATTTGATTGCATCGGAACGCCCTTTTAGGGCGGCCATATACAGTATGTAAAGATGAAAAAGTTATACACGGGCATCAATTTACAGACAGACAATACAAACCATACATACAGTATACATAATATAGAAAATAAAAACAGGACAAAAAACAACATGCGCGCATACAATAGATACGGGTAATATAATTAATATTATGTAGACATATAAATCACAAATTCTGCAACACTGATCGGGGCAATGATGCTTGATGGATTGAAGAGATTATTGAAACAAAAGGTTTGATCAGTAATGTTTACGGTTATATTGTGTTCGCAAATCCATAAGAAAATACTGTTCTGATTCAGTTTTATTTGTACCGCGGTAGAACAAAACTTCGAGTCGAAGCGTTCGGAAATATACCCGACGGTTACCGATTGGGGTCAAGGACGTTGAATGATAGCGATAGGCAGACCAAATATTTTTATTTTGCGTTTTACTTTTACTTTTGTTTTAGATTTCAAATTACTTTTAAAAATGATTTTAGTTTTCATTTGTGTTTTGATTTTAATTTACATTTTGGTTTTACTTTTACTTTTATTTTTATTTTTGCTTTTGATTTAATTTTTAGTTTTGATTTAACTTTTGCTTTTGGTTGAACTTTTGCTTTTAATTTACTTTTGATTTTGATTTTACTTTTCATTTTCATTTTCATTTCGTTTTATTTAAGTTTTTAAAGAAATTTTGTTAAATCCTGAATGATAACGATAGGCCATCGTACCACAAGCGATATCTACTGTATTATTGAGTGATAAATAATCTTAACCGGAAAATTACAGTCTGTGGTTAAAGACTAAATTAAACCGAAACGTAATGAGTGACCTTGTGTTCAATGTTTAAGATAAACCCAGGAATAATATTTAAAATATGGCTAAAAACAAATCGCAGACTCAGACTGGAAAGATTAACACGAGATTAGAGATGGAAATGTTTCTCTTCTTCGTTTTGTTAAGTAAAATTATAAATCAAAACTTGAAAAAGGTCTAGGTAATTTCTAATGATCTAGACTGCTCAATAATTTAGTGACGTTTCAAAAGTACGGAAGCGTAAAGGGGTCATGCAAAATTTTGTAGAAGGTCTCGAGATCCTGCGATCCTGTGATACTTTCTCGAAATCCCGTGATCACCTGGTAATTTTCTCGAGATCTCAATTTAATGTTCTCGAAATCCCCTGATAATTTTCCTGAGATATTGACATCCTGTGTAAATTTTCTCGAGAATTCGAGTTAATTTTCTCGAGATATTGACATCCTATGTAAATTTTCCCGAGATCCCGAGTTAATATGAAACCTTATATGATAGTGTCTCCACGTTGTGAAGCAACCATTGTCCCAATACTTCGCACCAAATTTGATAAAATAAAAAAAATACTCTAACATTTGTTACAAAGGAAAATTGCTAACTAATGAAAGAATATACGGACAATCGATAGGACACCCATGATTTACACTAAATTTGAAATATGATTAAAATCGATTGGGTTCATCGTCTTATGGTCCCAATACTTCACACCAGATATGAAATTCAAAACCCTACCACGTTAGCTTTAATGTGTAAAGCTTTGAATTACAGACTTGCTTGTTAAATTATTTCAATTTAATGTGTGGGCGACGTTTAATTGAAAATGTTATATTCTGCATGGTTTTCGGACCATATTTTGTTTTAGAATAAAGCTAGACAGAGAGTTTATTGTCTTCTGGCACAAATTTTTCGGAGCAGATTTGATATAAAAAAATCTTGAAAAACTCTGGGCTCTAACGCGTTCACAAGGTTTACCGGAAAATAGGAATAACGCCATAACAAAACTTCAGGGAGCGCTGCAAATCAATAAGGTTCATTGTCCCGCCGAAAATAAATAGGGTTCCTCTGCTTGTGACACTAATGATTCAAAAGAAATTTAAACGATAGTCACGCAAAGTGTAGAGATACGCCCACGCAGCATCTATGCATTAACAGCAGATTATTCAAAAGGAAAACTTGTTGTTTAACAACAGGTTGTGGGGCGCTGAGAATACGTTAAAACTACGCCCACACATAAAAATACCCGAGATCTCGAGAAAATTTACATAGGATGGCAAGATCCCGAGAAGATCAACGCAGGATGGGAGATTCTCAAGAAATTTATTAGGGGATTTCGAGAACATTTAATTGAGATCTCGAGAAAGTATCACCGGATCGCAGGATCTCGAGGCCTTCTACAAAATTTTGCATGACCCCTGGTAGGGTTTTGAATTTCATATTTGGTGTGAAGTATTTGGGCCAAAAGACGATGAACTCTGTCGATTTTAATCATATTTCAAACTAAGTGTAAATCATGGGTACCCTATCGATTGTCCGTTTATTCTTTCATTAGTTAGCAGTTTTCCTTTGTAACAAATGTTAGGGTATTTTTTTTATCAAATTTGGTGCGAAGTATTGTTCCAATGGTTGCTTCACAACGTGGAGACACTATCACAAAAGGTTTCATGCTAACTCGGGATCTCGAGAAAATTTACCCAGGATGTCAATATCTCGAGAACATTAACTCGAATTCTCGGGAAAATTTACACAGGATGTCAATATCTCAGGAAAATTATGAGGGGATTTCGAGAACTTTAAATTGAGATCTCGAGAAAATTACCAGGTGATCACGGGATTTGAACATTTACACATACGTAGTAAGGTGATAAGATTTACACACCTGTAATCTCTTGCATGACTTTGAATGGAAATCTGGGGTTCGCCAATGATGTAATTTAAGTCCGAAGTTGTTCTGTTTGTCTATAAACTAAATAATCTGGATCTCTAGAGTATATTCACCAATGGGGGTGATAGAGATTTACATGAGACAATTTATATCGTAAACTTGGTATTCTGGGAACATTTTGTTCTGATTATAATGTCAAAGTTAATGCCTCAAAACGAACATCAATGATAGCTGCTATTATAACGGCAATACGTTATAGTGTTTTGTTATCAGAACTATCTGGTAGTTTGTTTTGGTCCAGGTTAGTCTTAAAGATACATTATGTAAGATTGATAAAGAGCTAGCCATTCTTGCTATAATAGTTCGAAAATAGATAATCTAAAATGAATAATTTGAAAATTTCATTCAAATTACTCTATTGTGAGTGAAGATAGCCTTTAAAGGTTTGACAAGACGTGTGCACTAATTTCAACCACCGTACTGGTTGTTCGAAGCTAAGTCTCGCTCCTCCATTTTTAGCTTAAATCAAAATATGGCTGAACTGTTCTAATCTATTTCATATCGAAGAAATCCGATGCCATCGAAAGTTGATTATGGCCTGGATAAGTCAATAAATGTCTAATTAATAATTTAGAAAACATTTCAGGCCTAAAGAAAGACCTGCAATTGGCAGATTTAGCATTTGCATAAAATGTATGTTTAACTGTAACAGTTTAAGCTAGGTATTCGCCTTTTCCAATACAAGCTATACCTCTTTGAATTGATATTCTATTTTGTATTTATTTACGTATTACTATTAGGCTTATTTGGTTAGGAGTAATGTTGGTTCCCTAACAAGGAGGTCCTGAGTTTGATCCCGGTGTTGGTCGAGAAAGTTCCCCAGCAGACGACGGACCTAGCAAGGAAAGGGGTCTGATCGTTCGGATTTGACGAAAAATCGAAGTCCCGAGTACGCAATAGAAACCTTGACAGTTGAGATTGAATTGCAGTCCGGGTAAAATTTCCCCAAAAGCTAGTGCTGTTTTTAGGTGCGGAGAGGCCCTTGACTATTCCACTTATGGGGCTCCTCCCAATCCCCCATCCTCACGACCAAAGAGAGATGAGTTGAGCAAAGCCGAGGATTATGACTGACAGTGTCAACAATATTACACACCTAGGCCTATAAGTAAATTCCACACTGCTCACAACACACTTAATGGCGTATGCCCCTTTTCATTAGCCCGGCTGGAGTACAACGTTAAGCCCAATTTAATTCATTCAATCTTATATGAGTATTGTATTTTATAATGTGTATGTCTATTATTTTACTTACAACAATATCAAAACTATAAAGAAGTTTGATTTTAATATTTAAAGATAAAACCCAGTCAACTAGGTAACAACTCAAGCGGAGATGCTGGTTCTGAAGAACATACAGATGGAGGATTGTCTTCGAAATAATACTCATTATTGTTTATATCCGACACCATGAATCTAGTTTTTGATATTCCAATTAATTAGAATCTTAAAGTTAGTGAGGTGAAACAGAATAATTGGGTTCTTGTGGTGAGTCTGGCTTTAGAAAAAAACACAAGAAAGAAAGAAATGTAAGAAAAGGAAATTTATAATTAATCTAAAATAGCAAAACAACAATTTAAAAGAAGCGCTTTGTGCAGTTTGGGATGTTAAATCCTCCGGCTCCTTACAGTTATTAACGAGTTTCACACACAACACCTACAGAGAACATATCTATTGGACCATTATAACACACCAATCACTTACTTACACGAGAGAATCACACATCTTAGTACAAGTTTGTGGACCTGGCCAATCGTCGTTTTCGTGTTTAGCTGTTTCACAGTATTTTGTTATTGATACGAATAGTTTTAGATGTTGTAATTGGTCGATGACAAAAATCAACCACTTATTTATACGCTAATGTTTGTGACGCGTGCGGCAGAGTTTCTTTGGGATAGATGACAATTAATCAGATGTAATAGCCTACTGTCAGTTAGTTTCTGATTCAAACTTCACAGAGCGAAAAGTTTAATGCTTATCGCTTAATGATCTTCATGTATTGACGTGCGACATCAGTCGTGTGTTCCCTATGTTGCTTTCACGTAACCAGGAAAAGTTATTAGAAATGTATAAAGTTATCTAACTGATAGTGATTCTAGTAGATTTAAATTTGTTTTACTCTGTCTTTTTGCTTTACACAAGTTTGTTTAATTACAATGGATAACTTGGTAAATTCAACAATAACTGCTATGGATGTTAAAGAAAACCTGAGTGGAAGTTCTAATGCTACGATGCCAGTAATGCCAGACTATATATCAGTAACTTCTACATTGCTATATGTGATTATCTTCATTGTTGGTATAATAGGAAATGGCTTAGTGATAACAGTAGTTTGTATTAATAAGGATATGCGAAATTCAACCAACACATTTTTGGTTAATTTGGCCGTGGCAGATTTGTTGGTGATTCTGATATGTATGCCGCCAGCTTTGGCAGAAATCTTTTCCAAGGATCAGTGGTTCTTTGGTGAAATTATGTGTAAGTAAAACATTATTTTACACTTTCTGCATTTATACAAAGACATGCATGCTAATCGAAAATACTTTTCTAACAGCACGCAGTCGGGGTAAAAATGATTTGTGGCATTTTGATCACGGCATTTATTTATCTACCCAATCTCGTCCCGAAAGCCGGACATATCTGATAATACAGAGCAAAAATATCCAATTAATATAGAATGATTTATCGTTGTGCTTGGACAGTTTCGTTTTATGCCTGATTATTAACATTATATATTACTCTACGCATATAACCAAACATATACTGATATATGTATAGCATTGTCCCATAAATGCAGATCTTCTAGTAAGTGTTCCTTTGTAAGTACGCACAGACTTTCCAATTACGCGCTATCAAAACAAAGCGCGTGGGTTGAAATACTCAAGCGTCGGTAACTTTATTTGGGGTCTTTCTCCTACCCTTTCACGCCCATGTACCATATACATCTAGGGGTCTAGTCTTTCGGATGGGACGAAATCCCGAGGTCCCCAGCACACATCTGCGTGCACGTAAAATATCCCTTGGCATTTGGAATTCGATATAAGAGTAGGCCGTACCTCCACTGTCTGGGCAACATTTTCCTCATAGCACGCTGTGTGGCGTATGCCCGCCTTCATTAGCCCAATTGGAGCAGAACAGTAGGGCGTTAAACGCCATTTCCTTTTATCTAGGGATGTCGATCGGTGCACCACACAATCAAACTATTTCGAAAGGTGCATCTGATCAGGCGAGACGTTTGATTTGGTAATGCACTACGATGCCCTTTATTTCCAGACATGTTCGTGGGCTGTTCAATTAAGCGTGTAAACAATATAGATCATTATTCACGTTCAGAATGGCAGCTCACCATTAAGATAATAAATGAGATGTATCGTATTTGGAGAAATGTTGTATTTAACCTTGTCCGTGTAAAAGTTATTGCTGGAGGACCACAACATACACACCAACTAACAATCAGACACCGCGTACTTATCGAATCGGAAAGTCCCGTTGATACGCGACATATTTGAGGTGTAAACCATTATTTAAAAACTTCCGCCTAAGATTTGATTTTTACTTCATCGATCCACGCAATCTATAAAAATATGGCAACAATCATATGATAACTAGTGTTTCCAGAGCCAGGATCGGATGTTTTACATTGCAGTAAGATCGAACAACATTCTTTTTTAACGCGATTTGTGTTCAACTGAACTAATCTGATCGCCATTCTAGCAATGAAAGCGATGCCTTTTCTTTGGCACAAATTGTTTTAGTCAATCGAAGAGAAAATAATTAATAAGAAAGTAATGTAGACCAACAAAAAAGAAAACTGAGTTTAATTATATTGTCGAGTACAGTGGGTAAATCGGGTAGCTAGAAGAAAACCCAAGAAGACAAGCGACTATACGAATTCTTATAACAATCTGATATATCTTGTTGGTAAGAAAAGAAAATTGCCATTCTTACTAATATGGATGGATCTGTCAATTTTCAACAAAAATCAATGTATTTAAAGATAAAAGAAATGAAGCTTTGAAAGGAAAACGGTGTTAAATACATAATAATATGTTCAGATAAGATTGTAGGCTTCTTGTGCGATCTGATTTCGTAAATGTTGTATTATATAGTTAGAACACTGACAGGTGATGTACATTTAATGTGATGATCGGATGGCTTAGTAGGTAAAAGAGCTAGCTATAGCCAAGCTGTGTCATGTCGTAAAATCGAGGTCCAGAGCCAGTTTTTGGTACATTTGACCAATTTCCCTAAATTGAGCCAAGCAGTAGAAAAGGGCACCGCATGTCTTCATTAGCCTACAGATTGTTGCAGAACAGAGGGATATTAATCCCCATTTCGTTTCTTATTTTCTTTTTTTATTTGACTGAAACTAAACAGATTGGACTAGATAATCCTGATACTATAAAATGATTCTATTCATCGTAAACAGCATCATTATCCATGTGCAAAATCCGACAACCAAGAAAAAAGTGTGTTGTTACGTTTATTACCACGCATTCTTCAATCAATCATCATTATTAAATTTATCTCATTCGCAATTATGGAATTATAATAAAACATTTGCATGTCATCAATCAAATTTTAGTACCCAACTTTGCCCCACAAAATCCACCCAACCCCAAATACAACAACGTATGTATTTAGTCACGACTCATTTAAAACAATTTTGTTTCATCACGATGAAATTTGATGATAAATTGTTCGGTACAAATGTAGCGACGTATAAAATAATAATTAATATAAAATGATTTAGGTATTGATTGTATTTACGGTGAACTTGACATGTAATTATAATGGTATTACTAATATAAGTTAACTGTGAACCAATTATTGGTATTTTACACATATAGGAAATATAATATAAGTAATATTTTTTATATAAACATCTGTTAAAAGGTTAGTCTGTGTAACGTAGCTTTCTGTAATTTGAGATAGAGAGGTGTGTGCGGGTGTGTGTGTGTGTGTGGAAGGTGGGGGGGGGAGGTCTACTCAGTACAAACTATATCATATCAGGAGACTAGGATATGTAAAATTTATTTCCATAATCGAAGGGCCCGGAAGAAACGCCGCGAGCTTAGGCAGGCGATCCCCCAACTCCACCCTAACAACCGGTAATACAAGTATTACTATGTCATTGCCTGTCAACGTGATCTTCTTATGAGATAACCTTTAAAATTAAGTTTAAATTTTCTAGCATACTATAGGTCGAAGTTGAATTTATGTCCCGTGGTAGTATGTGTCTCCGAGTACCTGTTCTCCTCTGAATACCGTGGTTTGTTTTAAAGAGATAGTCTAAGGTGTTGAACAAGCCTAATATTTCTAGAACTTCCGATATTACGGGGTTGTGTGGCATAATAGTCTAACGCGCTCGCTGTAGATCACACGACCTGTTACACATGTGGGCCATGGGTTTGATCCCAGGCTTTCACATGACAAGGAGTTGGGTCGCCTTCTGAAAGTCGTGAGTTTTTACGGGTACAGAAATGACCTGGTTAGACTTGGACGTATAATGGACACAATTTCATCTACCTATAAAGTTACCGAGTGTGGCCATCACCATACGGTGAGTAAGTACGTCCAAACTACCAGTCCCGTGAGAGGGTCGTGAACGAGGCAGGATATTATAAACATTTAAAAGTAATAGACCCAATTTCATGCACCTGTAGTATCTCTGTTATAGTTTCAAAACTGGACCTTTATTTTTAAAATCAGTTAGTGAGCCGTGTTATCGCCTCTAATCTATTGTAATCTATTAAAGTAATAAATTATTTGACTCACATACAGTTGCGTCTGATTGATAATATCTTCTTAAAGAATGGGAGTTATAATGTCTAAATTCCAGACTATTGTAGATTACAATCTGAAGTTTGAATATTAGTACCCAAGATGCGAACTACAGACGGAGAATGGGAATTTACGTAAACAGAAGAACATGTCTGGCGTGTTGATTAAGATATTAAATCCGAAAACATTAGTATTCATAAAGTATGACCTTCTTTGATTATACCAACGCCATGGAATAAAGTTAGCTACGTGAAGTGTTGTTCAGATATGAAAGAAGTAATGCTTTTTGTCGTTTTACTCATTAGATAGCTTTTATAGAATATATCTATGAATGGTGAATATATATATATATATATATAGATATATATATATATATATATATACGTATAAGGAATATAATTGGTTCCGTAAACCGTCAACCCATTTAACTCCATAAATTTTAAAGTTCAATAAAAGTAAAGTAAAACCGAATAAAAGGAAAAGAAATACAGAAATGAATTGTATAATGTCCTTTAAATGTAACTTTTGATTAAGGAGAAAATGGCGTTAATGTATAAAGTTAACGCAGAATCATTAACCACGTCCTTGAATCTAATACCCATTTTTTTTTTTTTTTTAAAAGAAATATTATTTGTTGTAATTGACGTCTCTACAGTGTTTCAAGCATGAATAGAAAGAATAAAAATATTTTTATAACCCACATGTTAATGTGATCGTAAATTCTTATCGCATACCCCCCGTCCGTTTTGAACGTTTCCGTAAAGATGTTTCCGGCAGATTTTTTGCCCATAATCTACTTGATTGTGTGTTTATTAACATGCAATACCGTACTCACTTCCCTTTTACAGATGAAGTTCAAAATATGCAGGAATAGTCAACATTGAGTTTAATATGATCTCTATCGATTTACAGTGTTATTGCTCCTGACGTTTAATTTAAAGATATTACTATCTATAATCATACTTGTGGTACACTCCATGGTGTATACTCATCTTCGTTATCACAGTAGCTGCAGAAAAGTGAGGTTAAACCCCATTTCATTTCTCATTTTAACAACCAGGTGTTAATCTTCCATGACTTACCATCCACTATAACTAATGAAACAGGTGAACCGGGCAATATTTAACTACACAACGCTAACGTGATCATATTTACGTGTGTGTTGTGAAACGGAGTCCATGCTGTACCATAATATAAACTAACTAAAATAAAGTGTAAGGTGATATTTTGATAAATATGATGTGGTTAAATTATTGTGACAAAATTATAGATTGGGTAGATTTGTTGACACTTTGTCACTGTAAGTAACAGCAGTAGGCATTGGAATTGTGTTAAACGAAATCTCCATATTTGGCTCCTCTTGTGTGTATTACGTATTTGACAAAAAACAATCATCACTTAACAGTTTGTCGACTTCATCTGGTTAGTCCACCGCATTTTTCTTTTTAACCAAAGGTTAACTTATACCTCTCTAATATTTTCAACATCTTTGACGGAAGATATAAATACTTCTGAACGTCAATCGAAGACTATCTGATTGGTGCATTCGGGAGTTAATACGGCGTGTTTAAAGGGGCTAAATCGCTAATATTTGGGTCGCAACGCATATAATAATGTAATGTGAATGGATATAAACTGATTTACATTTAACCGTTTCTGTTTTTACTGTAATTTCTAATCAGTTATGTTCGGCG